GGGCCAGGATCAGCAGGCAGCTGGGTGGGCATCTGCTATGTGCCACCTGATCAGGAAACAGCCTGCCTTCTGGAAAAGCCCCATGTCAGCAGGCCCTGGTCCTTAAGGGAGCTGTAATGCCCTTGATATATGCTGGAGGGACAGTCCAGAGGGACATAGGCAGCCCGGGAGGCTCTTGGAGCATGTTGACACCACCTCCAGCATGCTGGAGAAGGTCCAGCAAAGGGCTATCCGTCTTCTGCTGTGAGGGTGACCAGAGCCTGGCACAGGCTGCTCAGAGGGGTAGTAGAGTCTCCATCCATGGAGACACTTGGAGCACGACTGGCAACGGCCCTGTGAAACCTGCTCTAGCCACCCCTGCCTGAGCAGGGAGCTGGGCTGGATGATCCCAAGGTCCCTGCCAGCCTCAGCCACGCTGTTTCCCCGAGGCCTTGGCACTACGGCTCCGAGGCATTGGGATTCAGGGAGCCCGCGTGGCTCCCCGTGAGCTGCTAATGAGGGAGCAAAGCCGGTGCCCAGGAGCGGCCCAAAGGCCTCCCGCGGTGCGGCTGCTGATCGTCCCCTGCTCCCTCCCAGCCGGCCTGGTATCATTAGCTGCACGCTGCCACGCATCTGCAGCGAGCGCCGGCTGTGCCAGCTCCCTGCTGTCAGGCAGACGACGGCTTGTTGTCCCTGGGGCTGGGGGTAGCGTCTGATTAGGGCTGAGGTGTTGCAGCTGGGCTGACAAAGGGATCCCAGGGATTTTCCCAGGGCCTAGGGGGCTCTGGTTTCATCAAGCTGTCAGCCCCAGCTACACCGGTGCTCCTGAACTGGAGAAATGTAGCAGCATCATGGTCCTCCTACCCTGGGGAAAAGAGAAGGGTCTTGGCATTGTGATGGGCTGAGACCAACCCAGTCAGCTCATGTGTGAGGCTTCTAAGCAAGCTCTGCGGTATGGAGTACCCCTGGGAACTCCAGATCTCATGCCCTGGACTGGTCTGTGAGCAGTGCTGCTGCAGGACACCCTGCCCAGGCAGTGCACCCAAAGCTACAGTGCCAGAACAGACAGGTCTGGCCTGCCTGCCCATCAGTCTCAGGGACCCTGTGCGCATCAGCTGGGGGTGGTTGCATCTTCATCCTCTGTTTGCTTGCTGCTTTACCAGTAACTGAGCCAAGTGCATGCAGGATGGCTCCCGGGGGAAGGCTGTGTCCTTCACATCCTGTCCTCACTTGGCAGGCTTGGCTGCCGTGGGCTGAAGCAGCTGAACACCCTCTCCATCCCCGGCTGGGGCTGGCTGAGGAGGTGGTGGGCTGGGAGCACCCTGCCCAGGCAGGGAATGTCAGACATTCCCTGCTGGCCCAGTCTTCCTGCTCCAGGACAGCTCTGCAGCCTCCCTGGGTGCCCAGCCTTCCTGCCTCACACACCCTGGGAGCAAGACAGGAAGGCTGAGCATTGCCTCAGTTTCCCTGTTTGTCACCAAGCTGCAGCCAGACCTCTGCAAACCTCGGCCTGGCTGCCTGCAGGTCCCTCCTTCCTGTGCCTGGCATAGCTGTGTTCCTGCAACAGATGTCCGCTTCTTTCTGGCCTCTCAGTAGCTCCCCCTCTCCCCACTGTGGTTTTCAGCCAGATTGTGAGAGGATCCCAGTTATAATTAGCCAGTTTGCTGGCATGGCCCTGCCAAGGCAGGTGAGTTCAGGGCAGGGTGAGCCAGAACTCCTGGGGTCTCTGCCCATCAGGGTCCTGAAACGCTTTTCCAAACAATTTACAAGGATGCTGGAGAAGCAGAAGGTGCTTAGAAGCACGCAGCAACGTGCCAAGAGCTCAGATCGTAGCCAGGGAGTCGCTCACTGTTCCTGCTCGCCAGCAGGCCGGTGCAGCTCAGCCTGCCACAGCTTTCCTGCAAGGCGAGGGTGAGCCCTGTGCTGCCTGCTGCTCCCCGACTCCTAGTGCTTGGGGTGCTGCTTCCGTCACCGGGACAGTCAGGCTTGCCCATACGCTCCATCGCAAGCAGCAGGACATCGAGGCGCCCAGGACAGGTGGAAGCAGGGATTACACGCCCCTGTGACCTGAATTAGGAGCAGAGATGCTCACCAGTCCTGGGCCCTTGCCAGCAGGAGCTACCCCAGCTGCTCTGCCTGCTCCTGGGCCTAGAGGAGGCTGCAGAGCCAAACACCTCTCCAGGCAAGACGCAGCTGTTGGCAGCGGTGCCTTGCAAGCTGCGTTCCTCACCCCTTTGCACAGGCATACCCACAACCAGCTCCTCTTGTCGTGGGTTAGCAGAGCAGAGGCTGGGGGGTGCCAGGTGTTGATTCATCTCCTGGGTGCCAGGCTTTATCCTGAGCAGGCTGTTGGCTGGAGGACCAACTTAGTGGGGATTGACGGGCTTCCATGGGAGCCCAGGGGTGAGCAGAGGGGAGAGCCCATCCTCCCGGATAAAACCCTTCCCAAGAAGGAGGCAGCAGGCAGCTTTCCGTAAAGGAGATTTTAATCTGTTCCGTATCTAGTCCATAGTGCAAAGACTTAAACTTAAGGCAAAGCTTTCTCTTTCTTATAAACAGGCAACAAACAAACAGGCCCTAAAACAATAAGCATGACTGCTATAACAGAAAAAGGGTTCTGGGGAGAAACTGCAGTCCTGGGAAGGTGTCCTCATGTAGGAAACATCGCACCTCATGAGCTGGTCCTGACCAAACACCACCACCTGCAGCCAGGAGCACAGCCACAGTCCCACTCCTGGGTGTCTCCGGAGGCACCGGGAGAGCCCAGGAGCCCAGCTTAGCCCAGGAAGTCTCTCCAGTCCCAGAAAACGTGTGGGCAACCAGCCCCTGCAGTGCCTCCCGGAGTAAAGCCACCCACCAACAATTATCTTGCCACAGCCCAGGTTTACAGCGCAGAGGTAGGTCACAGCATGGCCTGGCCTCTCTGCTGCCTCCGTTTTGGCTTAAATCACTAACCAAGAAGGAGAATAAAGAAGGAAGACCATGCCAGCTGCCCTTAGGCTCCTGGCTTGCAGTCCCAGAGTCGAGGCTCTCTGCAGTCTGGCTCCAGCCTAAACTGGCTGTGGTGCATGGCTGACCTCAGACAAGTAGCTGGAAAAGCTTTTTAGTGGAATGCTCTCTTGTAGCCCAGCAATTTCTTGGAATGGTGCTGGTTGATCAAGCTGGAATAAGCCATCTCAGGCCTCCCCAGCCAGGATTGGATGCCCTCGTTAGACTTCAGGGGACACTTCTAAATAAAACAAGTTACACTTCTGACAGACAGACCAGCAGTGTAACCCTGCCCTAATCAAAGATAACCATGGTCCTGGTACTGCTCCATGCACACAACTGCAGATCAGCAGCACAGAGAACTTGTGTCTGGAGCTGGAATGTCTCAGTGGGCTCCCAGCTTTGGGGTGTCCCCCTTCCTCCCAAAGTGTTATTTCCTCTAGCCAGCCCAGTGTGGAAAGCAGCAAGCGAGTGCTGGTATGAACCACCCAGTTCCATGGCACTCTGAGCCTGAAAAAAAGGTGTATTATCCAGAGAAGGTTCACCAGCAGTGGCTTGGGCATGTGCTGCTGCTGGCAGGGCTGTGAGGACTGGCTAGCCAGCCACCCCTCAGGCTCCCCAAGCAAAAAGAGTTAACTCCTTCCAGCCTCCCCATGACAGTAACCTGATGTGTGCCTACTAGTCTTGCATAGGTGACACGTGGAAGCAGCAGCAACGCTGAGGCCTGCAGTCAGCTGGCCTGCAGGGAGCCCACGTACATCACAGCTCTTCACTGTCCTGCTAAGGGGAATAGGAAGCTCAAAAACCAACGCCACGGTGTCTGGGATACTAAAGTACCCCAGAAACCCTGCTCTTCTCCAGCTGAGAGCCAGGCCCAGCCCTTTGGTAGCAAAGCTTAAAAAGCTCAAGCGTGCTCATTGCTCTCCCAGGGCCTTGCAAGAGGGGCATGCTTCTCCCTTCCCAGAGAGCTGCCCCGCTTAGACGGTGGGAGGAGGGAACAGAGGCGTGAACAGAGTCTGCCTGGTAGTTCTCTGGTCAGACTTTGGGAAAAACCCTCCCTTGCCTTGCACCAGCCCCTGTGATTCCCAGGGCACAATCTTTAATATTTCAATCAGCTTTGGCTAGAAGGGACCAGAACATCTTTCTGTGCTCTGCTTTGGATCTGAGACTGCTGTAGTCTTGAGGCAACAGGCCCTGAAACAGCAAAAGTTGTCAATAAAAAAAGGGTAACTCTCTCAGCCTGCTGCAGGGATCAGTTACTGTGCTTGCTAGCAAGAGCTACAATCTAGTTACGTAGCAAGTGTGGCTAGCAGACACCCCCAACAGCCTTTTGCCCTTTCAGCACCATCTTTAATTCTTTGGAAGCTGCTTGAGGCAGCCCTGGGAAGTTCACCTCTGGCAAGAGGCAGAAACAGGGGTGCCCGTGATCTCCTGAAAAAATGACCCAAGCCACCTACCCCCTGGGTTCACAAGTACACATTGAGCGTCTGGAGGATCATCTGGCGGCACAGCGGGCAGTTGCGCTGATAGATGGCCTGCTGCAGGAGGACTTCCGTGCACTCCTGACACAGGCAAAGGTGCCTGCAGGGCAGAAGCAGAACCGTCTTAGTTTGGTCTTGACAGATGACACATTTCTTACGTTCCTCTTGTTCTTTCAGGAGCACCCAGGGGTCGTTATCCGGAGCACCCTCGCCATCCCCAGCTGCTGCGTTCAGCTGCTGCCTCCTTGGAGCTTTCCCCCAGGAGGTGCTTGGTTCGTCCCTGGGTGGTTGGAGACACTGTCCTGCCATTGCACTTCGACTTAGGGCAGGACGTGCCTGGGGTACCTGCTCTGAGTCCGGCTGGTCCTCGTGCTCAGCTGGCAGCTGGCCGATCCCTGCCAGCACCAGCCTGCCAGGGGCCACTGGTCTGAGGGCGGGTGCAGCTGCCTCTCGCTGGTTGCTTTCCGGGTTCACGGTTCTGCCTCCTCTGCTCCAGTTGGTCACCTGCAGACTCCAGTCCACCACCCTGCGCCAGGCCTGGGAGGTCATGGCCATAGCCAGCATCAGGACCGCCACCTGATGGAGCTGCCACAAGTCCCGCTGGCGGCGGCGGAAGGAAGGCAGCGTGTTGAAGTAGCCCAGCACGTAGCCTGTCAGCGTCCACAGCAGCCTGGGGTTGAAGACAAAGGCGCTGACAACAATTAGGAGGAGGAGCAAGCCAAGACCATAAATATTGACGAAGAAGATGCTGATGAAGAGCTCAATGACAGAGGCCAGGAGCTTGAAGGCCAGCTGGCAGGGCGACCACAGCAGGATGGACACGGCGATGGCACTGCTGGAGATGTGCGCGAGGAAAGCGGCCAGCAGGTCCGTGACTCTGAGGAAGGGGCTGGCAACGGAGTCCCACAGGGCCACGAGCAGGGTGAAGAGGTTCTGCGTGCCGATGAGACACACGTTGACGAGGCTGTTGACGAGGTAGGCCAGCAGGCTGGTGCCGATGGCCAGGCACTCGCAGAGCTGCCTGGCCAAGGCCTGGCCGCAGCCCAGCAGGCCGGAGAGCCCGCGGTGCAGCAGCTCCCTGCCCCGCAGCGCCAGGTGGGAGAGGAGGTGCCCCGCCACCT